CAGCGTTCTGATACGCTGGCCTCCCCCGTGGCCTTGCTCAGAGTCGGGGTGCACTGGTTGTTGGAACCGTGTTGAGCAACTCGCATCTCGGGGGAGAACGTCTAGCTAAAGGTGGAAAGTGGTACAAGTTTACGGAAAGATATGTCAACATGCAAGACTGCTTGGTGCCGGTCTCGGCTCGTCATTACTGGTATATAATGGTGCTGTGACAAGGAATGGCCGGGGCCGCACCACCGGCAACAGCCCCCGCGGACATCCCCTGCCGCGGGCCAGTGCTGAGGCTGGGCTGGCCCTTGTGGTTCTTACTATGAATGCAGGACACTCGGCAACAACCATCAGGGAACTTTGAAAAAGCAAGGTTTATTACTCACAGAGGCCACAGCACCGTCGTGGGCAGGGGAGGGGGAAAGAGCACAGATCTGGGGCTCCACCTTTATTGGGGTGCAAAGTGGGTGCTTAGGGTGTCGAGAGTTCAATATTTATGGGCAAATTTAAAACAGAAGAACAGGAATCAGGTGCACTACTTAGGGAGCAGAGGGGTCATCAGACACAGAGCGGTCGGTATCTGGGTCACCTTGGGTTTTCTAGAAGGGGGCTGCGTGGTGGGCTGGCTCTTCGCCTAGGAGGGTAGCTGGCAACATGCCGGGGTGAGGTGGATGTCTTTTAAGAAGATGCCCCAGCAATTAAAAGCTTACCGTCAACCAAAAAAGCTTATGGTCAGGCACTGTCTCTACAAAGACCTGTACGCACTGGCAGACGCGTCGTGTCCGTGATAAAAAGACTCAATGCCGTGAGACGTCATGTGTCCCCGGCCTGTAATCTGAGGATCCAGCTCAGGTGCAGTACAAATCCAGGAGGGTATTTTTCAGGGAGGCCTGATGAGCGGATCTGACATGTACACGGGCAAGCAGAGGTCTGAGAACAGCCAGGGCCCCATGGAGCACAGAAAGGGGCAGGCACCTCGCCCCTCTGGCTGCTGGTGTCTGGAATTCTGAAGTCTGTGCAGTTAAGATGGGGTGGACTGAAACTGGGATAGAAAAAGAATCCTGAGAAGAGAACACTGGGGCCTGATGAACACCCTGCTTGTCAGAGCAGGCCCTGCGACTGTGTGGGTGGGAGGGATGGCTTACTGATTTCGGTGGCAACACAGAAAACCGCATGGAGAAGATGCAGCTGGACGCTTATGTGTGAAAATACATGCAGAAGTCAGCTCCCTGCGATCGAGGCCCTGATAAAGGTGACATTCCAGCTTTGACATTGCTCGTGTACTGTCTCCTGACCCGGGAGTTGGGAGGGCCTCCAAAATAGGATGCAGGAAGATGAAGAGGTTGATAAATTGGACTAACTAAAGTAAACATTTATCAAA